CCATGCCTGGCCCTCTTATTTTGATTTAAACGATTTCTCTTGTAACTTACAGAGATCCACTTTTGTAATCAGAAGATAGTAAAGATAAAACTCTGTTTTTTTTTGTATCTTAAAATCATAGTAACATTGATTGGCTGTGTATAGCTCAGGTTGCTATGTATGTTAAATTAGATAGCCTACTTTGTCACAAAGTAAAGCCTTATTTTATTTTGTTTTATTTTTTTGGCCACAGCTGGGTTTGAACCCACCACCTCTGGGGCCGGTGGCCTACTTCTTTGAGCCACAGGCGCCACCCAAGCCTTATTCTTTGAGGTCAGGATTTTGACTATGTCTTCTCACTAATATCAGAATCTGTCTCAGTGATGCCTACCCACATTTGTAATTAGTTTTGGGTTACAATATTTTTTGAAAAGGCTAATTAGAATTATATATAAGGTAAGAGCACATAGGCTCTGAGTAGATTATTTCTACAATCCAAAAATTTATGGATTCGATGATTCCTTGCATAGCTACTTAGTATACTGCACACAAAAACATGGAATTTTAATTTTATTACTTTTAAAATGTTTCTTTTATTTTTATTCTATTTCTATAAAAATAGTATATATGCATTGCATAAAGTGTAAAATTTTACCTACTAAACAGTGATATACTCATGTGAAAATACTTATGAAAAATCACAATGTCAATTCAAGCATAATCCTGTTATTTAGCAAACCTGTATATATTTGTGTAGGACACCTGGGTAATAATTTAACAGTACAAAACAGTCAACTCTGGAAAAAAAATAAACTATTTCAAGAGGTAGAGTATAATTAGGGGTAGCTGGAATTAGAGAGGAACATACGCTTTTCTTATACTTCCATATTATTCTCCTGTTTTATAAATAAGCATACATTGATTTTCTCATTTTAACAATTGAAAAAATCAGAAAGTAAAGACAAGCAAAAGGAATTCTCCATATTGAACCCACCCTGTGACCATTACTACTACCTTAACAGATTCCTAAGAGTACACACTCATAGAATATGCTGCTCTATGCATATATACAAACACACGGGGATACAGATGTATTACACGAAAATGAGCCCTCCTTTAAAAAAAAAACTAACAGAATCATGTGAACATCTTTCCATATCTATGAAAATTATTTCTGCAGCTCCATTTTTAGTGCATATGCTTAGATGTGCTTGGGTTATGTCAATAGTTACACATAAAAATAATGAAATTGATAGCTTGGCAAATTTAGACCTAATTTAAACAACTTTGATTTTAGTGATTGAGGTAGTGTATATACAGCTGACTCTTGAACAAGAAGGGTTTGCGCTGCATGGGTCTACTTACGTAGGCATACATGGCCAGCCCTCTGCATGGGCAGATGCAGAACCATGCCTATTAATTTGCATTTGCAAAAGAAACAAACATTGGTAACCAGCAAATTTTTGAGAATAATTTTTAAAATATATAATGTTTGCAAAAAGTGAAAGTTTTTTTTCAAAAATATATAAAGTTTTCAAGTGGTGAAAGTTTTAAAATTTCATAGTTAAAAAAAAATCTAATTTGAATAATTACCTCTAAACACACACCTCTCTTCACCTGCACTTCTTCATTCAGGGTCTAATTTGACGTCCCATTTGTTACTGTTCATCACATGCCACATTTTAAACAGTCTGTAATCTTTTAGAAGCTTGTTCATTTATTAGTTTACTTATTTACTATTTTCCCTGTCAGCCTGAAATTTGATGAGGACTCTGACTTACCCTGATTTTGTTGCTGGGGTTTGTTTTCTTTTGCTTTCATCACTATTTTCCCAGGGCTGAGCACACAGTAAAGGAAAATCCGCGAGTAAATGGGTTTAGGGAGCATTTTCCTGGGTGGTTCTCCTTTCATGCTCAAGATGTCTTGAGATGAACTGATCTTTCCTTCAGAGTCTCCTAAATTTTTTCACGACTACACTTATCTTCTCAGATATGTAGAATCAGAGTTTTTTATTTTGAAAGCATTGCTATTTAAAATGTTTTCTGAATGTTTTACTTATAAACACACAGAAAAGTGGAATGAGAAGGCTGAACACCTTCTCATGAAGGTATTCTCTTCACCTTGATTCACCAATTATTAATTTTTTGCTTAATCTTTTTTCTATTTTTTTCCTGACATTTTGAAAGTAAATTGTACACATCAGGATTGTCTCCTCTAAATTCTTCAAGCATTGATCTCCTATGAGCAGGGGCATTCTCCTACATAGCATAATACCATATCTCCCTTCAGGGAATCTAACACAGGAAATTTAACATTAATGTGTGTGTAATATTATGATCATGTACAGTCCATATTCAGATTTCTCCAGTTGGCTCCATAATGTCCATCATAGCTATTTTTTTCTCAATTCATCTAGTTCTCACGTCTCTTTAGTTTCCTTTGGCCTGGAAGAATTCCTCTGTCTTTTTTGTTTGTTTAGGTCTTTCATGACATTGAAATTTTTGAAGTACCCAGGCCCATTATTTTAAAGAATGTGCTACAATTTAAGATTTGCCTGAAGTTTTCCTCATGATTAGATAGATGCAGGTTAACTATATTTAGCGGGAATACTACATTACTGAGATTTTTTTAGAGTAACACAAGAAGGGCCTATCAATTTGTCTCATTACTGGTCATAAGTTTGAGTCCTTCTTATAAAGTAATGTCTGCCAGATTTCTGAATTGTAATGGCTCATGTTTCTCCTCTGTCAAAAATACAGGGTGCTACTTTGAGAATGTGTGGTATCCTGTTTTTTAATAATCTTTTACTAAGTTTTGGCATCCACTGATGATCCTTACTAGAACAAATTATTATACAGTGGTTGAAAAATGATGCTTTTCTAATCTATCGTTCTTTTTATATTTATTTGCTAATATTCTTGTGTAAAAAGTATACTTCCCAGTGTAGTCAGAGGAAGTCCCTTCACATTGTTTTGTCATGTTTAGTCTTTAAGCACTTCCTTATTTCAATCACAGCAAGATGATTGGGCTCATCTTTCACTTTCTCTACCCTGTCCTGGAACTGAACACTTCTCTGAAGAGCCAGAAAGTGTTTCAATTCCTCTTTCCCTTCCACAGTGAATGAATCTCTTGTCATTCATTTAAAATTTTTGTATTGAGTGCTTGCTATATGGGGAGCTGAATATAAAACTATCAACAAGAGAGATAAGTTCCCATCTGTCATGAAATTTACATTCTCCTGGAGAAGACAGACATCATACAGATATACATACAAACAAATCCATAATTACACACGGTGGTAAGTGCCTTGAGGGAAAATGTTGTGTAATTACAAGTTTGTTGTGTACAAGTACATGCTTCTAATATTTGTCTCTTCATTTGTATTCTACCGTCGCCACAGTTACATTGACAATTATTTGGTCCCATAGGGATAAGTTGCAGTTTTTTCCATAAAATCTCACTCCTTCCATTTGCCATCAGATTTCCCCCCCTTTCTTTATCAACATGTTTCCTAGCACTAAAATTCATTAGGAAATAGGAACAAAGACAAAATTTTATTGACCTTTAAATTTTGAATCATACAGGTTTCTTTGTTCATAGGCAAATTCTTACATAATAAAAATGCATGAAATATAGGCAGTCCCTGAATTATCATTTGGGTCACATCCAGAAAAGCCTATCCTAAGTTGAAAATGAACTTTGAATTTAATGATATTTTCAACTTGTGATAGCTTTATCTGGACAAAATCCCTTCATAAGTTGAGGAAAATCTGTATAGTAATTTTCTCTAAGAAGGGTCAGGTTACTTGAAGATATTAATCTCCTCTCCCTGTAGATCATAATTTATGCTCAAATTCATTTTTATTTTTTAAAAACATTTATTTATTTTTGAGACAGAGTCTCACTTTTTTACCCTCAGTAGAGTACCATAGTGTCACAGCTCACAGAAAACTCAAACTCTTGGGCTCAAGTGATTCTCTTGCCTCAGCCTCCCAAGGGGACTACAGGCGCCCACCACAACACCTACCTGTTTTTTAGAGACGGGGTCTCACTCTTGTTCAAGCTGGTCTCAAACTCCTGAGCTCAAACAATTTACTTGCCTTGCCCTCCCAGAGTGCTAGGATTACAGGTGTGAGCTCCTTTTATGTTCAAATTCAGACAAAAATTGGTAACTAATCTTATATAAAAAGATTCTTTTGAAAAGTTTTTGTCATTCTGGTCTTTAAAACTTTCAATAGACAAAGAAATTTTGAATTGTCTGGGAAATCTCAACTGAAATATCAAGAGAATGCATTGATTTCTATTTGAATGTAAGCTTTTCCATTCAGTGTGGAACTTCAAAGACTGAGAGAAGTTCCAATGGACTGTCATAAAATAAAAAAGGATATATAATGAGGCAAATAGATTTGTTCATCCAATTCTGGGTTATTAAGAATAGCAACGTATTTGAAGATGTTAAAACAGTAAGCACAGTAATAAACTTGGGGAAATGGTTATCCCAAGAGGTCTTGCAGTCTGAATGGTAGTGAGCAGAGATTTTACACGTTTCCTTAGTATGGAACTGAATGCAGAGTATACGCAGAACTGTAATATGATATTAGAAGGAACATAAGGATATATCTTCCTTTTAAACAATAAGAAAATAATACATGTACAAAAAAAGAGGATGTCATGCTCTTGAAAAGAGGATCGACTTTAGTAAGGGAAATCTTGTGTTTTCTGCCAGTCTGAAGATACACATTTGTGGGCCAGCACAGAATATATACATGCACCACACACACACAACACACAGACACATACATTCTCTCTCTCATATTGTATTACTGGTGAACAATGCTAGCCTTCCAACAAAATCAAAAGAAAAAAGGCCGTTCTTTTAGAGCAGCGGTTTTCAACCTTCCTAATGCTGCAATGTATTTTCATTATTAAAAGGGAGTCGCAACCCACAGGTTGAGAACTGCTGTTTTAGAGCAAAGATAGTAGGTAAGAGGAGAAAAAATAAGCAATTTCAAAGAACAGTTGGTCATTTCCTGGAAAATTACACCTTCAAATGAAGGAACATTCCTTAGACATGTTTTATGTTAAAAGGACTGTTCAGAATATCTTGACCATTTGACAATCAGGAAGCATTTTCCAAAGTGTAGTTCTTGGAACATTCATCCTTGGGAGATGCATGTGCAAACAGGATTCTGAGGAGTCTTGCAGGGAAAACACATATGAAGTTTTGTTTTATATAAGCTATTCAAAGAGATCATAATCACAACTCAAATTATAAAGAATAGCATCAATGAAAATAGGCTATGAAATAAATTAAAAATATTTTTACCTAATTTAAAATATTTATGGAAGCCTCATTCTTTAAATGTAATATGAGCTAAATACTGTACAATTTGTTTTAAATTGTATTGTATTGCTATGTAAAATTATGTTAAAATTACATTTGATCTTATTGTTTTAAAATTTATAAGTGAATTTTATTATTTTTTATTTATTTGTTTTTTTGGAAACAGAGTCTCCCTGTATCACCCTTGGCAGAGTGCCATAGTGTCACAGCTCACAGCAACCTCAATTCTCTTCCCTTAGGCTCCCAAGTAGCTGGGAGTACAGGCACTGGCCACAATGCCTAGCTATCTTTAGAGATGAGGCCTCTCTCTGGCTCAGGCTGGCCTTGAAGCTGTAAGTGCAGGTAATCCATCCACCTTAGCCTCCCAGAGTGCTAAGTTTACAGGCGTGAGCCACTGTGCTTGGCCTATAAGTGAATTTTAAAAATGCTTTACATTTAAAAAGTTGAGTTTTTCTCTACATTCAAAGATGAGTTTACCTACTAGTGTGCAATTTTCTGTTTAAAAATTTTACAAAATCCATTTAAGACCTCATATACAGATGGCCTTTGTATATGCTTGCAAATCTAGAGTAGAATTTATTATCGAGTGCTGTGTTAAAAAAAAACTGCCCTAAACATTGGTTTAAAGCAACAATTTATTATTTCTAAAGATTCTGTGGCTCAGCTGTGATTCTTTTACTGGTTTTCCTGGAGTCAGAGACTGTAGTCAGATGGTGGCTGGGGCTGGAGTCATTTGGAGGCTCCCCTGGGATGCTGGGGCAGGTGTGTCTTGCTCACTTTCCATGTGGTTGCAGAGCATTTCTATATGGTGCTTTTAGGAGAGCAGCTGGACTCTTTACTTGGTGGTTCAAAACTCTCAAAAGCACAAAAAGGAAAGTTGCCAGGGGGGCTATGTTAAGACTCCTGTGGTCCTTAAACACATTTGTCCTTGTGGGACCTTTCATCTATAAATAAGATTAAAAATTATATTTTATGACTGTATTGGTACAAAGAGGAATATAGTAATATTCTTTGACCTAGAAGTTCTTTTTTTTTTTTTCCTTGTAATTTTAAAAGAAGTTGAAACATTTTTGTGGGCCATAAAAATATGGTGGGCTCTAAGCACTACTGTGTCTAGTGGGTAAGTCGGCCTTGATGACCAGGCCTTCTATTGTGTTCTAAGAGTTAAATTAAGGAACGAGCCACACCCCCAGAGGGGACTACACATGGTATAAATACCAGGAATAGGGTTCACTAGCGCTATCTTTGGAGATTAGCTATCACTTCTGTTTGGAACTGTGATCTCCAATCCCTGGCCTATGGACTTGATAGTGACCCATGACCTGTTTGGAACCAGACCACACAGCATCACTGCCTGAGCTCCACCTCCTATCTCCCTCTCCTCACTGCCCCACCCTTCATCCCCTTCTGTGAAAAAATTGTCTTCCATGAAAATGACCCCTGGCCCCCAAAAGGTTGGGAACTAATGGATCAGAACAAAGTTTCCAGTAAAGATCCATTAACATGTTCCTGTAACCCACTTATTTGTGGAAATGAGATAAGAATATGAGTTTCTGATGTAACTAGCAGACTAACCAGGTGGCCCCACTGGGCATGAGGTGGGTTTACCCTGGGTGACAGTATTCCTTTGTTGCCTGACAATTTCATGGAAGTTTATTTTTTGCAGTTGTTCCATATTTTTTAATGTTGCATGTCAAAGAGTAGAGTATAAATGGCTTAACACAGTAACTAAGTAAGTGAGGTAAAAGCTATTTTAACAGGTTTGATGTAAGCATTCCAAATTGTATATAAAATCAGCATATTATATCCCATAAATGCACTAATGTATACAGCTATGATTTAATAAAAAAATTAAGAGAAAAACGGATATAAAGATTTTATTGAAACTTAGCTTTGAAAAATCTAAAATATAAGTTTATTTAATCTTATATTTAACAAAAATTATCTTTAAGTTGAAACGAAGCATTAATTTCTAAGAACAAAAATGCAAAATACAAAAGTATTCATTTTAAGTAGGAATTTGGGCATAATTCGCTCAGCCAAATTATAAGACAATATTACACTATATTTCTCATTTTGCATTTAAATTTCACAGCCTGAAAATAAATTACTAATGTGAAAATATTTTAAAATTAAAAAAATATTTACTGTTCTGTTTTCAGGAAAGTCAGAAAAACCTCAGTGACGTGGGTGTTAGTCAGTCTATGCACATCAATGTTGATTTTCAACCTCCTCTTTGTGTTTGGAATTGAAAATTCCAATAAGAACTTGAAGACGAGTAATGATGACATGAACAGTATTGACTTTAGTACAAACGAACTTGGCAGTCAGGACATCATTAGCACTCCAAATGCCGCATGCACTGTGACGGCCGCCTTCCTACACTACTTCCTGTTGGTGACCTTTACCTGGACCGGGCTCAGCGCTGCCCAGCTCTACTTCCTTCTAGTTAGGACCATGAAGCCTCTTCCTCAACATTTCATTCTTTTCATCTCATTAATTGGATAGGGTAAGTGTTTGCATCTCTACTCAGTGAATTTAATTTCACTGAAATCATTTAATTTAAATAAACACCCATTGAAGGCCTAATACCATATGGCCTTGAGGTAGAGAAGATAGAAAGTATAGTGATTACTAAGAACACTTTTGTTTTTTCTTTTTGAGACAGAGTCTCACTTTGTTACCCTCAGTAGAGTGCTTTGGCATCAGAGCTCACAGCAACCAGAAACACTTAGAGTTAAATGATTCTCTTGCCTTAGCCTCCCAAGTAGCTGGGACTACAGGCACCTACCACAACGCCTGGGTATTTTTTGTTGTTGTTGTTGCAGTTCTCATTGTTGTTATTTAGCTGGCCCAGGCTGAGTTTGAACCCACCAGCCTGGGTGTATGGGGCCAGCACTCTACCCACTGAGCTACGGGGGCCACCTAAGAATACTTTTTGTCTATTTAGTTTATACTCCAGTGAAGGAGGCAAAGGTGATCAAGATAGTTATAGTAGTCACATCACAGAATAACTTAAAGATGTTAATTTTCTTTAACATTTCTTTTCATTAATTTGATTTAAGATTTAGATCACAGATAATTAAATTCAAGTTACTTCGAAAGAAATGTTTCAAGAATGACAATCAGAGTAACTCCCTAAAACAAATTATTTGAACAATTTATTGAGTTTCCAGCAAAGGAAGAATTGTTTTAGAGATATCCAAATTTAAATGTATTTAAGCGAAGAAAGAACTATGCCATTTAAGAAAGGTAATTGTTGGCCAGGCATTGTGGCTCACAGCCAATAATCCCAGGACTGTGGGAGACCAAGCTGAGTGGATTGCCTGAGCTCACAAGTTCAAGACTAGCCTTAGCAAGATTGAAACCCCATTTCTAAAAATAGCCAGGCATTGTGGCAGGGGCCTCTAGTCCCAGCTACTTGGGAGGCTGAGACAAGAGGAGTTTGAGGTTACTGTGAGCTAGGGCACCACTGCTCTCTTCTAAGAGTGACAAAGTGAAGCTCTGTCTCAAAAGAAAAAAAAGGAAGGAAGGAAATAAGAAAAAGAAAAAGAAAAAAAGGCAATTATGGTAAGACTTACAAAGAAATCAGAAATAGTTTAAGATCGATGTGTAGAGCTGACACCAAGAGGAAAAAGAGAACACTTAGAGAAAAATTATGTTTACTGTCAACCCACATCTGTGGGATCATTTAGTGTATTGTCCATAGGGGAAGGAACTGAAAAGGGTCAGATGTATAATTTACTCATGGTCTTTTACAATTAATCCTAGTCTTGAATAAGTAATTAATTCTGTTCTTCTTTATCACATTAGGAGTCCCAGCTTGTAACAGTGGGAGCTGTCTATGCTCAGAATAGCAATGATGTATCATGGGAGTTAGTCTTCCGGCAAGAAACAACGTGAGTTTATATCTCTAAAAACATCTATTTCTTTGTAATTATTCAGTGATACTGACTCCAAGTGTCACTGTACATATGCATTTCATTTTAAAGTTGTCATAGTGGTGAGTATTTCAAATTCTCAAAGGACATATCATATTTTAAATGGGGTCACATCATGGAAATTTCCTATATGTTGTAATATATCCTTTCATAAAATGAGTAATGAGTGCCCATTGTCTCCGTTGCTCTTTAACATCATAATGGAAGTTTTAGTCCTCACAATTAGGGAAGAAAAGACAATCAAGGGTATCCACGTAGGGTCAGAAAGGATTAAACTTTCACTTTTTGCAGATGATATGATCGTATATCTGGAAAACACCAGGGATTCTACTACAAAACTCCTAGAAGTGATCAAGGAATA